ATGTAAATCTGGAGTCGCTTCGGTCTGACCTCTCCAGGGCTTTCATTATCTTCCCTTACTTTAATTCCGCTTAGCAACTGTCTGATACGTTCCATAGAATCACGATGGGTTGAGAGACGACATAAGCGTATGTAGTGATCCGCGGCTGTAGTTATAGATGTGAGTGCAAGAACAAGACCGCAAAACCATGCTGTACGTGCTGGCCATGGCGTCGCTCTCTCGGCTGGAAGAAGATGGGGCCAGCTCCCGGTGGAGGTCAAAACACCAGCAAGAAGGGCTGCCTGTTATGGAGGCAAGAATGATGACAGTCAGTCCACTGTTGCCGATTACTCGTCTCTTACAAATAGGTTCCAAGTATGATGGAGTCAAGCGATTTTCTTACCATGACACCGATGAAGTTCAGTTCTTTGAGCTTATAATCTCGCCACTGTTCGGTTAATGCGTCCTTCTCCTCCTGATCATCCGCATTCAAAAGCATATAGATTGGATCATAGGTAGTGGCATCTGAGGCAAAGATACCGCTCCTGAAAAATCCGTAAATACTACTAACTCCCCTATATGCCTTATTTCTAGCCTGAAGACAGATTAGCTTCGATGAAGATGCTATATGAGGTAGTAGAGTACAAGCTCTAAGGGCACGGACCTTAGCATTTTCGCTCTCCTCGCCCATAGTTCTATGGAGGGTACCATCTCTGAGGAGAGGAAGGGTCTCCTCGGAGGCCATGCGAGCCATATTGCCTCAGTGAACGAGTTGAGCCAGAACTTAGATCCTAGATTGAGAAAGAGAACATCCTCATCTTTAATCTGAAATAAAGGTATAAAGGAATGACGTTGACTCGGCCATCATGTGTGCTTCAGCCTTCTTGTCTGAGTTTAGATCCAAGTTTTAGTTGATACCTTAGATGTGCGGTTAGTGCCGTGACTCCGAGACCACCCCCACGAGAATAACGTTTTAACCTGCAACAATGACTACTAAATATCCAGAATATTGAAAGATTAGAAAAGATCCGTAGGACAATAAATATAAGTCTATCTTACTAGAATATTATCAGATGAGTTTCCTACCTCTACATAAAGTCATTCAGGTATCTAAACAGCGTCCTACAACTTTTCTGTATAGATTCTAATTCTAAAGTCCGAAAGATGAAAAAGGTTCCCTATTACAGTGCTTGGCAACTGTCTAGCTGAACTTGCTGAACTTGCTGAACCTCAAGCTGATCGTATCGTCAACAGCTCCCAAAAGTTTTCCTCTTATAGTATCTAAAGCTGAGGCTAAAGGTTCGTTATGAGGCTTATCAACAACAGCATGATGTGGAAGCTAGATTCCGCAATAATGCACTCTTCCTCCCCCAGCCCTATATTCAATCTTGAGTACGTGAAAATATAAGGACGATAGACTGTAATAATTCGAATCGAAAATCATACTCCTTAGGTTCTCGTCATATGAGTTTTTCACGTCATGAACTCACTTATCAGCTTTACATTTCAATTCACGCAGTATGGAGCGGTCCACCAGGAACGGGAGCTCAAGTTATGCCCGCATAGCTTGGAACTGTGATGAAGCAAAAGTCCGATTATATAAGGAGCAACTAGCTGTCGAAGTTGAACACGGTTCACGTTTTGTCTACTCCCCACTCGATGTCTCTAAGAGGGAAATCCGTCTGATCCAACTCCTCCCTAAACATGCCAATGACGAGGATGGCACCCTTCATTGTCTGATGAATAGGATATCGATCGGTGGAGACCTTGCTTATGCTGCGCTCTCCTACGTTTGGGGGAAACCTGACCTTACGCACAAGGTCTGGTTGATGAACAGCCCCTTTTACATTACGGAAAACTTGGCAAGCGCACTCCACCATCTCCAGGAAGATGATAAGACGCTTAGCCTCTGGGTTGATGCGGTATGTATCAATCAAGCCGATGAAGTGGAGAAGAGCGCACAAGTGCAGTTGATGAGATTTATCTATGAGAGAGCAGAGATGGTTATTTCCTGGCTAGGACCAGAAGCTGACGAGAGTAACCTTGCCATGATGGACCTGCGTGCTGTCGGGGAAGCTCTGAGTGGTGAAGGCGTGATGGTAGCTATTAACGGGGATGTTAATGATCGAGCGGAGTTCCTGAATAATTCATGGGAGCAAGTTCTTGCTAAACATATCAATGGCTCCGGCGAATTTAACCCGATCACTTTGGAACCGATATTCTCTCTAGCGCGGAGACCGTACTGGGAAAGATGTTGGGTTCTACAAGAGATAGTTCTAGGCCGTGAAATAATAATTGTGTGCGGAAATCTTGACCTACCTCTAAGTAACTTTGAAAGGGTAATCTGGGCCCTTAAGGAATATGCTAGATTGCAATCTCCATACTCAGACGCGCATCTAACAGAGCTAAAATCTTGGATAGGCAGATCTTTGAATGTCCACCCTCACATCATGCTATCAGTAATTGCGCAGTTGGCCGACGGAAAACAACCGTTACGGAACTTGCTAGGGACGACCTGTGTGGGAACCTCAACTTATTCAGGTCTTAAAGCTACAAATCCGCGGGACCACATATATGCCCTCCTGGGAATATCTAGCGACCTGAAACTAGACACCATTGAGCCCAATTACACCCGGAGCACGGAATTAGTATATCTCGACTTCGCATACTTTATGAATCTCAAAGATTTTGGACTCTTCTCATACTGTCAATTCCCTAAAAACTTCGAAAACCTGCCGTCTTGGGTTCCAGACTGGTCGATGCGACTCATAAGACCAATATCGAGACTTTCCAAATTTGACGCCAGCGGCGGGGGTCTATGTGAGATTCTTGAATCCTCAGGCAAAGGTCTCAATCAAATTCTTTACCCAAAAGGTTCTATCCTCGACTACGTGGCTGAAGTTACCGATATCTGGAAAGACGACGGGGAAGATTCCATCAACCGAGCTACAGCGTGGTTTATGGAAGTGGAGCGTTTATCGAGGCTGAACGCCGATATCTGGGAGTCTGATGAAGAACGTCTGGAAGCGGTGTGGAAAGTCCCGATAGCTGATACGGAGTGGAGTGGCGTCTTAGAACAAGAGGCATACCATGCAACAGAGACAATGTATCAGTCATATAATGCGCTGCGGGGTCTGAACCAGGCACCGCTTGGTCATAATGACCCTAAGGGGTGGTGAACACAGAACGCTTCTGCCTATCTAGAGCGTATGTGGAATGTCACTAGTGATCGTAGGGTTTTCGCAACCTCCCAAGGTCTCCTGTGCCTAGGTCCGCAAAATATCGAGGAGAACGATCAGATTGTTATATTTCTCGGAGCGGATGTTCCTCATGCTATTCGTTTCTATAACGATGGTCGCTATGATCTCGTTGGTGAAGTCTACGTTTGGGATTACATGGACGGTAAATGGTTTGAGGAAGAGCGCGAAATCGAAGAATTTACATTGACCTAGCGAAGATGTTTCCAGCTCAATGATCCGCTTCGTGGTGTAGAACTGTTCAATGTTGGAACCATGCTCGCACACTGCTTTCGAGATACCCTTCATTTCGACGTATATGATGGCTGGATATTCATAGTTTATCTCACGCTGCATGGTACGGAGTGCTGCTCGACGGGACTAAATCCCAGCGCAACCTCCGTGGCAAGGGAATTTGGACAATATCTTTTGTGAATATACCAATCGCCCGTCCCACATGAAGAAATCGAAGCTCCTAAGTAAAGCGGAACACTAACAGCTTTCGAACTCTGGTACCGACGATACGAACTCACGTCGCATACCGACTTTAGTACTGAGCAATACCCGACTGGACTAGGTATAATTTTCGAAGGCGGCTTCCTTACGAATATTACTATACAGACATACTCGCCAGATCTAAATACGCCCAACTAAAGCACTATCATGCCACCAAAACCGAAATCCAAAGCCCACACAGCCATAAAAGCCAAACAAGCCGCCTCAAGCTCCAAAGCTCCCGCAACATCCAAACATACACCCCTCCAAGCGCGCAAGCAAAACGAGACACAAACCCCCGCAGACCTCGGGCCCCCCTATTCTTCTACTACCCCAACGACCCGCACACCGGCGTCTTTTACTAATGGAACAGCTCCCCCTTCAGCGTCGCCGCTTCCAGCCTCCCCATCCCTCACGCCTCTTCCCTCCTCGGATCCTCTTCCCTCCCCTCCTCCTCCTCCTCCTCAAACCAAATCCTCCACTTCTCCTGCGCAGAACACTACATAATGCTCAATAAAGTGCTCTTCTTCTCCGACGCCACCACCGCCGCCAAAATCCTCGCGACGTCCGATCCCGCCGCCCACAAGAAGCTCGGGCGCCAGGTCAGGGGGTACAGCGAGTATTTGTGGGCGGGCTTCAGGAAGAAAGTCGCCGAGGGGGGGAACTGAGCTGAGTTCTCGTAAAACAAAGGCGCGAGGAGGATCCTGTTGGGGACCGTCGAGAGTGTGTTGGCGGAGGCGGCGAGGGGGGATAGGGTTTTGGTGATTAGGTTTGCAGAGGGGGAGGCTGGGGGACGGGAGGAGGAGTGGAGGTTGAATCTGTTGGGGAGGGCGTTGATGAGGGTTAGGGAGAGGTTGAGGGAGGAGGAGGGGGGTGGGAAGGGGAAAGGGAAGGAGGGGGAGGTAGATGGGGAGAAGGAGGAGAAAGGGGATGAGGAGAGAGATGAGGAGAGAGATGAGGAGAGAGATGAGGAGAGAGATGAGGAGAGAGATGAGGAGAGAGATGAGGAGAGAGATGAGGAGAGAGGTGAGGAGAGAGATGAGGAGAGAGATGAGGGGGAGCAGGAAAGGGAGCGATGATGTGAGGAGATGCTGTCATGTCCGAGTGTATTCTTTGAGCGAGGGTATAAGGTAACTCTTTTAGACGTGGGAAATATCCCTTCCACAACACGCCAAAAATGAAAAGACTTAATATTACCCGTAGATCCTGCAAGTAGATGATTTAGTCTTCTTTGTGTTAAAGTATATCTTCACTTCGACGCATATAGGAGCAAAAATACGGAAAATTCCAGGGTCTTGCCGCGACTCGAACGCGGGGCCTCTCGCAAATTCACCTTTTGAAGAGTGTGAAATTTATAACTTAGGTATCCCTAAGCGAGAATCATACCGCTAGACCACAAGACCTAATTTCACTATCACGTGATGTGTGAATGAAAAGTTGTCATCTCATATCTGACAGATTGAGGGGGTGTTAAAAGGTTTTCGGCCCGAAACCGGGAGTCAAACCCAAAGATGAATTATGGTACAGTACACAGCGGAGAACTGTGCTATAATACCAGGGCTAACCGCTAACATATAAAATCTAACAATTAGTTCTCCTTTTCACAGGGCTGAAAGTCTAGCAGAAAACTTTGGGCAGTGTGATATCACTCTAAGTCATTCCGGAGTAGAACTACAGCAGAGAAGGAATAATTTCTCCTTTACATTCGTTTTGATCACGCATTTTATTTGTAGTTGTCGTAAATCGAACCAGTTTTGAAAGTGAACATTTGTCCACCTGCAACTCCGCTAATGAGTAGCCGTCAAGTCATACAGTACTTTAGATAGTATCAAAATCTCATCACTGTCTTTCGTCTTTCGTCTTTCTTCGGTTGGAGATATCGTCTTTTTTGTTTTAAGGAGCGACCTCTATGAATATCGCGGTATATACTATGAAGACATCGACCTTGCCCCACAACCGGTCCCCGAAGCATATAAGAAGGTAATACCGTAAATTGAGGCAGATATATCATCTAGACAGAAGGCATCGGGTAGAGGTAAGAGAGAATGGTGCAGTTGCACAGAGAAGCAGCGGTATGGCAAGAAATGAGGTTCGGAAATAGGGACGAGAGGAAGAGCGTATGCGACGGAAAAGTTGCTCAAGAAGATGAGAGAGGGCCGTCCAAATGAAGCTGGAGCTTCAAGAAAGTGAAGCAAAAGCAGAATCAAAGAAGGCACGTAAAGAAACTCGAGCAAAGAAGTTTAGCTAACGAACGAGGAGAGAAGACGGATCTTGCAGATTTTCGACCTCAGCAAGCAGGAAAAAGAATGGAGTGGGAGATTCGGAGAAGGCAAACGAGGTGGAGCCTAGTGATTGATATACTGTATATACTGTATATACTGTATAGGATCTAGCAGAGTCATAAGAGTTTCTGGAAGCCTTCCGATTTCATGTGACTGTTATTCAACAATCGAGGGAAATTTCCGTAAGTTACTCTCTCATGAATGGGACCAAGTGGACCAATGAAACCCATCCCTGACAGCATAGAGTGGAGTCTAACTCTAACGAAGCCACGTCAGCCACAGCTGAGCCGCAGTGCGATCGATGATGTGTCCATTTGTTACAATAATAGAAATTATTCTTCTGTAGAATCCAATGAATGAATAGAAAATTTCTGACAATCCACTATTATGAGACTGTCTGTGACAAATTCTTATATTTTGTGTGTTATGATCTTCTCGGAAGCCAACTATGCCGTGTTGTTGTGACATGTCTCAGGAGTACTTTGAAGCAAAGTCGTTTTGCATACGCACAATAATACCAAGGAAGTGAACGGTCAGTAAGAAAGAAACCAACTGGGGTTCTAGTTTCGCAAAGGTGAAAGACGTTCGAAATGCCAAGTTTCGAGACGAGACGTGCATCACTCTCACGGGATGCGCTTCTGTCATGGTCTGGAGTCGATTCTTCCAGCCCTGCTTTGTCGGGTGTTTCGTGCTTTGGAGTTGCTTCGAGTTTCCTCTGGACGGGGAATTGATTAGCGTTATTATCGTATGCGGCTCATATTTGCTTCGTTTTGAGTTCGAGAACAGTCAGATTGACGTTGATCCGTTGGTTTTATTCCTGCTATTCGGTCTGCTACGGACGGATATGTATCGATGGACGAGGATGACGAGATTTTGCGGGATGCGGATGAACATGGATCATTGTAATTACTGCTTGCCTAAGAATAATCTTTATGATAGAAATAATTTGATTTTTCTGTAGCAGCAGGTAGGAATGAGGTTGGAGGTCGTATTCGTCCAGCCTAAGACTCAAGAGCTCAAAGAGTTAACAAGACGTTTGGCACTTTTGATGGGAATATTGACTTTTCACCTTTAAGCCTGATCAAGCCGCTGGCTTTGGAAACAGGAGAAAAGCAACGAGTCAAAAGACAACGTTCTCCTGCGGCTGGAGTCAGCGCACACTGTTTTGTACCAAATCAGCGACACGGAGGTTAGTCTGCAGTTTGCTCAGTGTGCCCATGCGTCCCCAAGCCCTGGGCCCAAGGGCTCAAGGGCTGCCATGACTTTGAGCCCAAGGCGGCAAGCTTCCCCCGTAAACAACCCCCAGGCCGAATGGAAGGGTAACTTTGAACAGTGAGGGACTGAGGGAGGTAGCAACAGAATAGAAGGCTTTGAGAGGGTTTGGAAGTCGAATCTACTCGCTATCTTACTATTGTATACTACTGGACTCTTTTGTGCTTCTCACCTTGATCTCTGTAATTATTTTATTGCGTCTTGAATCTTTGAAAATAGACGTCAGTTGGTTTTACTCCTATCCCGATTCCTGTCAAGGCTCCTACCACTCCCGCGGACAAGGAGACCTTCAAACCTCACCCGAAAAGGCACAAGCTACATTTGTATCTCGCAACCTCGCAACCTCGCAACCTCGCAACCTCGCAACCTGTACATTTACCATACCATCAATTAACTTGTACAATACTTCTTTTTGTTCGAACCAACTAACTCTCACACCTAAATAAGCGTCCGGTGACCTCATTGTTATCACCCTCCCGTTGTTTTCCTTTGCTCACCCTACTTCGCCACGGTGTGGATGTGGATGCGCAATCTAGGGCCACGCCGCGTCATTCACTAGAAACCACTGACACCTTTGACATCCAACCTTTTCCTGAATCCTGTTCCGCTATATCCATATCCTTACTATTGTTCATATATACTATTTTCCTCATGCTAGCATTTACATAATTATTATCGTTGTCTTTCACTCCTCTTACTCCTGTATCCTCATCACATAGCCCTCGCTTCATCTCCTAAGAGTATTCCTTGGTCATCATGAGATTTGCAAAGCAGTCTGTCTTTGCAGCAACACTACTTGGATTCCTGTCATGTTCTGAAGCTATACGATTGGAGCGTCGAAATGTAAGCATTCATCAAACCATGGTTGGTATACATGTTCTGGCAGAATTCTGGCTGACAGCTGCACCGTTCCTGTAGGTTGCAAATCCAGCCGCTTTGAGCTTAGAGATCCAGAGAAAGCACGTCAGGGACCCCGTCGAACACGATCGCAAGAAGTTTCGAAAACGACAGGATACTGTCAGTCAGGAACTGGACAATCTGGAATTTTTATACTTCGCAAATTGTTCTATGGGAACACCTGCGCAAGAACTCCGCCTACACATCGATACTGGTAGTAGCGATCTATGGATCAACGCGGCAAGATCACGGTTGTGCCGTGATATAACAGATCCATGCGCAGAATCCGGTACCTATGATGCGAATTCCTCGTCGACGTACGAATACGTAAATAGCTTCTTCGACATATCCTACGTCGATGGCTCTGGCGCGTCTGGAGACTACGTGAGGGATACATTTCACTTCGGAGGTGCTAGCTTAACGGGCCTACAATTCGGAATCGGCTATCTTTCGACATCACCAGAAGGAATCTTAGGTATAGGGTATGAGCTCAACGAAGTCCAAGTGAACAGAGCTGGTGGCGACAGCTATCCTAACCTTCCAGCTTTGCTGGCCGAGAAGGGTATGATTCAGTCGAATGCATTCAGTTTATGGTTGAACGACCTGGATGCCAACACCGGTACCATTCTCTTCGGCGGTGTGGATACTGCGAAATACATTGGACAACTCCAAACGCTTCCGATCATCCCTACGCAAGGATTCTACATCGAGTTCCTTATTGCCCTTACCGCAATGGGTCAAAACGGAGAGGAGGGCTCCATCTTCGACGGTGAAACGATTCCAGTCCTTCTCGATTCAGGTGCTAGTCTCTCCTACGTCCCCGATCCCCTGGCTGAACATATCTACGGATTGTACGATGCCCAATTCGACCCAACCCAAGGCGTCGCAGTATGCGATTGCTCCCTAGGAAATAGCGATGATACTCTCGATTTTACCTTCAGCGGTCCTACCATCCGCGTTCCCCTCAACGAGCTTGTCCTCGAATATGGTACCACTGGCTTTTCCACCATCTGTATTTTAGGTATGTTATCGTATTCTCTCATCACTCCACATGTCTCAAACACCTTCTAACATATTTCTTTCTACAGGTATTATGCCCTCTGGTGACTCGAGCAATGTTCTTGGTGATACATTCCTTCGCTCAGCTTATGTCGTCTACGATCTCGCGAATAACGAGATATCCCTCGCCCAGACAAACTTCAATGCCAGTGACTCCAATATCCTCGAGATCGCAGAGGGCACTCAGGGTGTTCCCGATGCGACCGGTGTGCCTAACGCAGTATCTACCGGTTCCATTCCCGCAACGGGTGGCGGCAGACTCGGTGGTCCAACGTTCCACGGATCCGCTAGACCGAATCCAACGAGTACCACAGAGACCAGTACAGGAGGCGCCATGGCTATGATTACGGCTGCGCCCGCGCTGGCGGCGTTGGGTGCTGGACTCATGTTTGCACTGTAAACTTTGTCCTTCATCATTGTTGAGCGGTGTACTATAGAAGCGTAACGTCCGCTATCATTTCTTTTTGCATTTCCCTGGCGTTCATCTATACCCTATTTGGGATTGGAGCGGCTCTCTTTCGGTTGTCATTCGTTTTGAATCTATATTTATATTTCGGCATAGGTAGCGGGTGGATTTTGATATCATCTTAAATTCGAGCATGTTGGATTGATTGGATAGCACGAGGTGAAAAGGAAACGATACTGTCGTATCGAAAGGAAAGGTAATTTGCATCAGATATTGTACGGCGGGGGGGGGGGGGGGGGGGGGGGGGGGGGGGGGGGGGGGGGGGTCGGAGAGCAGGAATAGGACGGTACGGCGACTGTAGCATACCTGATAGAGCGTACTCTCAGGAGAATCGCAGAAGGAGAACTGTACATATTTTGGCTATAAATCTTTTGGGTAGAAGGATTCAGTAGATTTATGAATGAAGTACATTGAGACGTCGATTCTC